CAATAGTAGATTGATGATTCCAACAACACTTCTTACACTCCTTTGAAAACTATTTCATATAAGGTTGACAGAGCCAAAGGAGATAAGGAATAGTAAATTGAGGATTTCAAGATCGAAAGGAATTATGGGCATACGACTAAACACAAATAATCAACGCTCAAAATAGTTAAGAAAAAAAGAAACAGCACTTGATATTCCAATGCTAACCTCTGTATTGTTGACAAGGATAATAATTATAAGAAATGCAACGATGCTAATGCTAACGCCAACACCAACGCCAACGCCAACACCTATGCTTATACTTATACTTATATAATAATAATAATAATGATGATAATAATAATAATAATTATAATTATAAATACGAGTACAAGCTTACAAAGATTAAAGCTGCTGTAAAGCTCTACCAGAATGCAGACACTACGATGAAAACTGTCCAGATGTTTGAGGAGAGAGCAGCGGAGGAAGGCCATTCGTCACTACTAACTGATGCACACAAATATGCAGAGGAGCTGAAGATAAAGTTATCTCTAAAGTATCCAAATCCATCATTTACTTTGACCAGAAAACCAGAAGTAGAAATTGAAGGAACGAAAATTAAAGAACAATTGAAGAGAGCACTGGTAGACTAGCTACAGGAGACGATAAACGCAGAGAAATGGCATGGTTGATTTCTCTCATCGCGTTGGAAAGATAAAGTACTTAGTCAAGATGCATGTTTTGCATGGATGAAAGATTGGACGACTGCACCAACTCATACAGTTGCTGGTATGATGGAGCTCTATGAACAACTATTGACAACCAAAGTGTATACGTCACACAAGACCAAAACCACCCAGGGAGATGTAAGTTGTAGGTTGTGCGGTAAAGAAGCAGAGACCCTTCCACACGTTGTGTCAGGATGTTCTACACTGGCTCAATCAAAGAACTTGGACCGACACAATGCTGCTCTGAAGATATTATTCTTTGAGAAGTGCAAAGATCTTAAATTAGTGGAAAGTGTTCCCCCTTGGTACTCACCTGTGACTCCAAAACCTATCTATGAGTCGGATGATTCTAAAGCTTTCTGGGATGTACCGGTGTATGCTGAACACACCTACGTCAAAGCCAATAGGGTGGATGTACGATTCGTGGACCATAAGGCAAAGCAAGTCTGGGCAGTAGAAATGAGCTGTCCCTGGATTGAGAATCGTGAAAAGAAAGTTGAGGAGAAGGCAACCAAGTACGGTGCACTACTCTTGGAGTTAAAACAACAACACCCTGGTTACAAGGTACAGCAATGCAATATCATAATTGATGCATTGGGAGGATGGTCAAAGAAGCTAGAGCAAACTATGAAGAAGCTTGTTGGTGCCCGATCAAAGTGTGTTTTGGAGAAGATGCAGAAAGCCATCATCTCTTACTCGCTCCATATAGCACGAACATTTAAAGCAACTGTTATATAAGCTTAAACTTTTTTATATAATCTTAGGATACTGTTACAGATTTATAGAATATAGAGGGTTTTTTTTGTTGCTAGAAATTTATTTTAGCTGAATGCATATATATATATATATATATATATAGCTCAGCTAGCTCGGTTAGCTCAGTTGGTAAGAGCGTCGGTCTGTTGTGCAGGAGGTCGTGGTTCAAGCCTCGGCTGGACCAACACTCAGGGTCTTAAAATAACTGAGGAGAAGGTGCTGCCTTTGTAATAATATCTG